TTCAAAAGGTTCCAACTTTGTCTTTGCCCACGTATTATCTCAAAAGAGGAAATTATTTTAAATGTCCAGTCTATCCTAAATAAACTACCATCTCAAACAGCTAATGAAATTCGATTTGAAACGGCAAAAATCCTTGAAAATCAAAGCCCCTCAATCTAATATTGCAAAGCCTGAACGCATTGCCCTAAAATCTCTAAAATCTAATCCTGATAACGTAATCCTAAAAATCCTAAAGGAAATGCTACGGTAGTCATGAAGGCAATTGAATATCAGGAAAATATTTAAGATTCACAGACGGATCATATCGTCAACTTAAAAAAGATACTACGTCATCTATGGAACGTAACCTTAAATCTATCATTAAGGCTTCTTCTCTATCAGAATCCGGGAAAAAATCTGTCACCCCTCACGACTCTAAAATTCCTCGTGTCTACGGACTCCCAAAGATTCACAAACCAGGATTACCCCTTGGACCTATTGTCAACACCATTGGTTCTCCAACATATTCTCTAGCAAAATATCTAGCTTCCTTATTAAAACCCTTTACAGAGAAAACTGACAGTTTCGTACTTAATGGCTTTCAGTTCATTGAACAAATAAAAAGCATTACATTAGATACACAAGATATTCTGATTGGTTTCGACGTAGAATCCCTCTCTTTACTAAAGTTCCAATTCCTGAAATTCTCACCATCATTTCACACATATTAAAATGCGAGAATCTGGAACCAAACCTTCTCACCTTAATTGAAAAATGCTTGTCTGGAACATATTTTTCTTATAACGGTCAAATTTTTGAACATACGTCGGGAAGAGTTATGATTTCTCCACTATCACCAATAATCGCAAATATATTTATAGAAGACTTTGAGAAGAAAGCTCTCTACCCCAACATACATTTTACCATTAAAATGGAAACTAATAACAACCTCCCATTCTTTGATATTCTTATCAATAGAAAATCAGACCTAACATTTGGTCAATGTGTTTACAGAAAACCTACGCATTGTCACATCACCATCCGGCCCAAAAATCATCGGTTATCAACTCTCTTCTTTACAGAGCCGTAAAACCATCTCAGCCGGATTCATTGAACCCAGAATGAAAACACCTTACCTCTGCTCTTCTCTCTAATAATTTCTACATTAAAGATTATAAGCGCTCCATCAAAAAATTCACTTCACCACAACCTTCCAATAGCAATGAAGCCGAAAACAATCCCACACTTGCCACTGTTGTTCTTCCTTATATTAAAAACATCACTGACCACATATGAAAAGTTCTAAAGAAATATAACGTCAAAACCAGATTTACCACTTGTCCAAAAATCTCTCAACAATAACGAAATGGGACTTTCGTTATTGGCCCTGTTTACAAGTAATTGTAGGTCTTCCAGCGGTTGAGTCATGATTGCTTTATCGTCTGCGAAGCGTATATTATTAGCTATCTCACCTCCTATCTTAACACCTTCTTCTTTTTCCGAAGGGACCCGATGAAATATTATCTGTGAGTTCAGGCGAAAGTACGCACCCCTGAGTAACACCTCGCTGGATAGGCACTCCTTTTGTTTCTATTTCGTTTATTTTCACAGTTGCTGTTTGGTTTCAGTATATCTTTTTGATGAGCTTTATGTCATTGTCATCAAGTTGGATGTTCTTCAGTTCATTTATGAGTTTCGTATGCTGTACTCTATGAAATGATTTTTATAAACAGTTTTATTGTATTCGCGACTTCTCTGGGGGAGTCTGTCATTGCGAATAAGGCTTCTCTATTTTGGATTATTTTCAGTAGGACTTTTAAGGGGTGGCACAAAAGAATTATGAGTCTGTAGTCGTTTCCTGATTTTGGAGTATGTTGGTAAATGCGATTATATTTTCATCATTCAGTGATTTTAGAAATTCAAGTTGTATCTCATCTTGACATGGAGTTTTTTTGTTTTTACAATTTTTTAGGTCGTGTTTGATTAGTATCTCTAAGACTAGACGTTATTCGTCTCCGTTTGTTCTGTCTGTACTATTGATTCTATTCTTGGTAATAATTTTTTATATCATTCTCTTCCAAAAGTAGTGTTCTGATTATCTCTCGTTCCACAGGGTATTTTTTCTTGTTGTTACCAGTTATTTCTTTTATTTTCCTGTGGAAACTGAAAGTATCATGATTCTTCTATAATTCTTCCATCTCTGTGCTTTGTTTTTTCATCCAAGACCTCTTTAGCCTTTTTTAATTTCGCGTTTAATTATTATTTTTAATTAGTTTTCCTTTTCCTATTATTGCATTAAAGTCGCCCATAATTATGGTTATTTCATGTTTCTTTGAATTTCGTGTCAAATGGTTCAAGTCTGAATAAAATTTTTCTATAAGTTCCTCACTGCTTTCGCATGTGCGTATCTGCACAAAATTTATATTAATCGGGTTTTCCTTTAGTTGTAACATCATCATGCCTTCATTATAAGGAATAACTTTTATAACTTTCACATCTTTGCGTATAATTATTCCTACGCCATTGCTATGTTGTCCATCTTCTCTACCTGAATAATACAAAACTTCGTCATCCTGGCTACAGGTGCACGAACCAGGCCAGCGGACCTTCGCCAATCCTAAGATCCAATTTGCATTTCTTTGCATTTCTGGTGTTATTGTTGTTAATTATGTGACCTACCTGTTCCTTAGTGTTTAAAATTCGGCAGTTCCTTGGTTGGTCACCAAAAAGAAGTACAGGAATAAATGAGGATAAAAAGACTGCCATCGAAGAATAATACACTCGTTTTACTTTAAAAAAGAAATACCTACCTTGGACAAAATAATGTCTGAAATGAAAAAGGATCACTTTATTCTACTCATTGCTAAGAAATTGAAAGAAATAATTTATTAAGGCAAAACAGAAAATCACTTTTAATAGACAATATTTAAGAGCAGTGAGACAGTTTCAAAGGGGAAGCGGAAATATGTGTTATCTGGATATTTGGTAAAATATCATCCAGATAACAGATATTTTACCAAATATCATCCAGATAACACATATATGTACATATGTTGGAAAAACAGGAAGGATGGTCCAGTGGAATAAAAGTACTCTGAAAACTAATAAAAGCAAATCCTAAATCCTATTCTTTCTGGCTGTAGAAACTCCGAAAAATGGCCTACACGAAATATGATGAATAAAATTTATAAATTAAGCCAAAAAATATTATTTATTAAAATTTATCTATTTTCAAATTTATATTACTTTTTTTTTTTTAGTTTAGGCTCTATAAGATTAGTCCTGCGTAAAGTGTCGCGTGCCAAGTCGAGAGTTTCCGGTATTTTAGTCACGGGTTTGACACGATCTGATGTTTTCGGTACATTTAAAATATTGATAGTATTTTCAAGTGTGAATTGTTTTGTCCTGTTTTGCAAAAATGTAATCAAATACTAATAAAACATGACCAGTGTGCAATATCTTTATAAACGGCACTTTAGTCACGAAATTGTTTATGCACTATCACAGCATCTGAACTTGTTGCAAAATATATTGATTGATTGATTATTGTATTATGTATTCTTTTTAGTTATCAATATCTAAAAGTGTTAAAATAATTGACAATAATTTTAAAATAATCTATTATTAATTTTTTATTCTACTAGAACAGCGACGCCAGCTTCCATACTATTATATTTTATGGCAGCTTTAAAATGCCGTCCATAGAAGAAACAAAATATAATCAGAGTTTTAGAACCATTACAAATAATTGAAACTTACAACTCATACACCAATAATTCGAGAACTATGAAAGACATTAGGTTACATACTTCCAAAAATCCATAATTATGCAGAGTTAAAAATAGGTCACATCGACTTATCACTTTTTTTTTGGAATTAAAGCAGATTAAGTTCCTTATAACCCAGCATCTCAAAACATTGTAAAAATTACAAGCTGGGCAATATCGAATCAGTAATCCTGTCCAATACCCATACCCATGCTTCATATTTTTGTTGTTGTTTTACTATTTCTAATTAAAATTAGTTACCCAGATTCAGCAAATAACAATTGCATTTAAAAATGTCTCTGATTTTTGAGGAAAAAATACTGTTTGAACAATAAATCGTCATTTTTTTCGCTACATAGTATATTCTGCAACAAGTGTGGTCAACGGCATTTGAGGCACGAATTTATTTGGCACGAGCGGAGCGCAGCAGAGCGAGTATTTAATTAACGAGTAACTTAAAAAGTTTACCATACCTGTTGCATACCATATTTTTTCTACGGCCATTAGTTTTTGGGTATATTTTTCCCAAACAATACGAATACATTCACTGACATGACCGTCAGAATTGACAAATGTCAAAATTCAAGCTGTGCGGTAAAATCTCCGATTGCTCCCAAACCCGTGCGGTTATATCCAGGAAATGTGCGAAGGGTCTCGGATCCGTGGGACAAGAAATTCACGTGGTAAAGTGACGCACGCTAGATCGTTGTCTAATTTGGTATTTTACAAAAGGGAGTAGAAGAAACAGTTTGCGATTTTAGATACACTTTATAATATATTATGGCAAAATTAAATTTGAATGTTATCTATACTCTCACGGAGGTACCCATAAAAGCTTTCTTTCAAATTTTAACCGACATGATCTCAGAAATTAGACATTGAAACCTAATTTAAATTGGACCTTTTTTTAAATAACTAGTACTATGATATACTAAAGTTTAAGTAAATGACCCCCTTTTAACTTAACCGATATGGAAATTTTACCCGTAAATATTCGAATCCCTCACGTTGTCACCCGTGCGCATTAACTCAAAGCAAACAAACTTAAAATTCGAAAAAATAATCGATACGTTGTTATTAATAATAATTTGCAAACATTAGCGGTGACTATCCGAAAAATAATAATGAAAAATGAAAAACATATTTGAAGTCCGACCTTGAGCGGCACTTACGCGTCGCGTCTTTACGAATTTGACAGGTGGGGATGACTTATAAAAGTATATGGTAACTTTATCAATGCAAAGCTCTGCCAGATGCGTATCGCCTCGTAAAGGATTAGTCGACGCTTTTCATCGTAATCGCCGTCACTGGTCGTTCGCGTGCCGGATTTGGCTTTCGTTTGATCGGACGTAAACCCGCTTTTGGATACTTGCATAACGAGTGATTTCTGTTTCTGTGATATTTATTAGATTATATTAGGTAAGTGCTAAATTTACCTTGCAATATTTTCGTTCTTTTTTTCGAACATTTTATTATATTATTAAGAATTCATTTTGTTTTTTGATTTTGATTTTATAAATCTAGCAGTAATTCAGTTCAGTGCTATTCGACGCTGTCCCATACGGAGTCTAATGGCTAAAATAAAAAAAAACAGAAAAAAAAACAATAACAAAAGGTTTCCAAAAACTTTAATGCTGGGAAATGCTCGGGGAAGAACTATTATGGCAACTTTTTAAAATGATTTTCATACTGTGCTGGTTGTCCTGAAAGTGGAATTAGCTCACCTTTAAGGTTTTTAAAATAATTTGAGTTTTCCCAAAGTGTAATCCAATTATAATTTCTAAAATGCATAAGAAGCATTTCAATTATGTCATTATTGAAATTTATCTTTTATACAGTGTAGACAAAACTTTATTTCAATCCAATAACGACTTCAACTGACTATAACTTGATTAATTGAGATGGGACATCAATAGAGTTCATTTTATGGAAATACATAAAAGCAATTATTTACAACATGCTTCCAACCACATGCTGTCCAGATTTAGAAATATAAACCGGACGCTGGAGGTACTTAAATGTGCAAAATTTGAGGACCGAATTTGCCAATTTTGCCAGAGTTCAATACTAACAAAAATTAACCCCCTCCCCTATTATTTATGTCGGAAATCAATGGAGCGTATGCTACAAAGTTATTTTAATCATCATTTTAGTTAAAATTTATATTTTTTTTTACGGAGTAAAGGTCAAGTTGAAAGAAATGTCATAATTTCTGCTGATTTTACCGCTTTCTTTTTTGCATCAAGGCGCCTAAATTCGCACAAGTAAAAGAAGAATGTTAAGTGTATACCCAACAAAATGATTCAAGCTGCAAGAGTGAGGTACTTGATTTACAACTGAACCACTTAGAAGCAGATTCAAGGATGTTTCCGCACACATTTAATGCGGTAAAAATTCAACCTGCCCACGTTATTATTCTTTATTTATCCTTGTAAAGGTCTTTGGTTTGTTTATGTATGTATGTTGTTTGCCTATGTTTGCTGCATCTGAAATTTTTCCTCTAACAGCCCTTACTTTAGCAAATTTTGATCTGAATAATGAGCAAATAAGCCAGTTAGAAGTAGTCTGTATAATATTTTTTCAACTTTTTTTTGCATTTATTAAGGGCTACAGTACAATAAAAATTTCCAACGATTACAGTTTGTATGGCTTTGAAAAGTTAATTTGCGTCCAAATGATTTACCGGAGTCTTTAATTAAATCAGGTAAACGTTGTTCAACTTGTCGAACAATGTTTTGTAACTTTAAAAAATCAGAAATATTTGGTATTTTATTGTCTAAATGCGCTAATAATTATTGGCTGAATAAAAAAGAGTAATTATTTATCTTGCATGTGTTCATTACTGCTCTAATTCAGTGTTTTCGTTCATATATTTTATTTTTTATTAATAATAAATGTTTTAAGTAATATTTTATAAATGTTATTTTTATAAAAAGAGATAAATTTCAACTAAAATAAACAGAATATACAGTAAAACCAGACCAAATTGACTACCACAATAAATTATCTGTCTGCAACTAGATGCAATGAAACGTTTATTTAGATAAGACCGAAAGGCATAAATTCACCAAAATCTAAAACTAACCAAAATCGTTCGAGAAGTAATTAAAAAGTACATTACCTGGTAAGTTAAAAATATGACGTTTCATTTATATAAATCAAGTCATAGTCATTTACAGTTGTTTTTTTTTTGTAATTGAGATATAAAATATCAGCTATGGTTACACTTTACTACAGATTTTGCTTCTCCTTCTTCCAGTGCTGATCTGGTCCGGATGTTGGCAATTATTCTGGCAATAATAATTTTATTCGTCCAAGTTCTAAGGTACTTTAACCAAGACACTTTTCTTCTGCCAGGTGCTGGTTTTCCTGTAATATTTCTTGCAGTAATGTATATCTTTTCTCGTGTCGCATTATGTAACCTAGCCATTCGAGCTTCCTTATTTTTATTCTGTTTATTATTTCCTTCTCTTTTTTGCATTCCACGAAGCATGCATAACCTCTTCAAAAGTTTCTCAGTATCCTGCTGTAGAGTTCCATCTCGAACGCGTTTAATCTTTTGGTGGTTGCTTCTGTCAAAATACAAGATTGCATACCATAAAGTAGAACAGAAAGGACGTAGCCGCGAATTAAGCTTCTTTTTGTATGTATACGGCATTCCTGTGAGTGATTCCAATGATTATTAACTTGTGTGAACAGGTAAATATACTTATTAACTTTTTCCATACTTCGTTGACCAAATATGAGATGGCTATCTAGTGCTTGCTAATCACCATTTATTTACTTTTTAGTCTAAATTTCAGCCACATTCGATAGGTTACCATGCTCATAAGCTGCAGCAGTTGTTAGAAATTTCCAAAAAAATTGATGATGACGCCCTATTCTTATAATAAGTGCATTAGAAAAACTGGAAAAAAATACACATGAAACAAAGAAAGAAAACAGAAATATCTTGACTGCAAATTCTGTAGATGCAATATTTGCAAAGTTGTTAGGTAATTACAGTGCTTATTAAAGTCACTTGCAAATTCAGGAAAATTCAACATTTATTACTTACTATCTTCATATCATTGCTTTTCTTCTTCAGCTAAACAATGTAAGTACTTGTAGTTGTTATTTGTTTTTGACATTAAGCCTGTGTTTAGTATAGGTCACTTTTGAGAATTTAGTACATTTCTTTATTTTTGTTACTGTAAGGTATTTTAAGAAGAAAGTGTTCAATTAAAATATTTATATACTCTTTCGAAAAAGTATTCCATTGCAGATTTGCATCGAAAAGACATACCCAATTTTTATGTTTCAAGAAAGTATGCTCGGTTTTTGTCACTAAAGAATCTTTTATATACACAATATGACCCAGGAACTCATAAACTTGAAAATGCTAAGTGGTTATGGACCACAAAGCTTCATGTAGAGTGTTCTCTATCACAAAATTATTCAGAATTATTATAATCTGGTACTTTGTGTTCAAACCTTTAAAAACAAATGCAGGTGCCTATTGATCTTCTTCCAATTTGTTTACTAATCCATTTTGCAAAAAGTGTCACACATTATACTTATTGTATATTGGTATATAATTTAATACCAAATCAGTCATAAAACGCTAATTTTTGATGTATATACTGCCCATAAAGTCTTCCGTAAATTTCTTATCATAAAAAATTTCGCATAAATGCATATTTATTACATACACAATATTAGATATGTTTTATGGAATACAAATAGTGTGAGAAACACTGTACTAAGCTGTTGTTTTGGTTAGTTTCGCTATAGCCGCTAACTTCTTTCGGAGAACCATTAACTCAACTTTGGTTAATTGATTCAATAGAAAAAATGATAATGAGATTGCAAACTTTGCAGTATCATTATATCAAACTTTTTAATTTGAATACTACTACTTAACAACGCAAAAGGTTTTTTTCGAATCCAAGAATTTTACGTCATATCAATTAAATAGGTATTAAAAAATACCAACGCCGAGCCACACAGACTCTACTAGGTCATCTACTGGTCGTCATTATTTCGTGTGAATACAGATTTCCTGTTCCGACAGCTTTTTCGGGTCCTCCTTCTGCGTGCACCATCCACAGCATCAAGGTCTTGAAATAATTGGAATTATAAAAAACTGCTTTCTCAATTATATGCTTCATTAAATGTTGTGGCGCCATTTTCGCATTATCGGTACTCTGATTAAGGTTTTAAAGCAAAATAGGAGAGAAAGAACAATTCATTTTCTAAATTTTAATACCCAGTAGCAAATAATTGCAGTACGTTTCTAGAAGTTGAAAATTTAATTTAAATATGCTAGTCTGTTTTTTTGATTTTTCGATTAGATATGCATCGTTTTATTGCAAACGCTTTATTCTAGTGAAGAAGAATCGAGAGAAAAGTAATTTCTTGTAATACATTATAATACATTTATAATTATTTTCTACCGATTCACAATTAATTACTATGAAACATGCATATAATTTACATTCATATAGTATATCTCAACCCTGAAGTAAAAATAAAAAATAGAAAAAATTAAAAAAATGAGTGCAGATAAGAAAATAATAAAAGGGAATAATCACAACAACCCACGCATATTTACGATAACTTTTTACATTTTTAGACTATTTGGGTGGGAAATGAAAAAAGGGAGTGTAACCAAAACCAAAAATCTATTTTTCATTTTAGTTATATTTTCTTGACTAGTTTTGACTATTTTCCTTGTATTTAGTTGAACGATTAATACATTTATTTGATGATAAATTTACGTAGCAAAAAATAACACGTTCATAATAACCAAGCTCTGAAAAACAAATCGCCCATTTGCGCGTTATTATAAACCAAATTGACCGTTAATAAAAATTATAGTTATAATATTAATATTCCCAGAATACGTAATTCAGGTTTAATTAGTTCAAACGTCAAAAATTTTCCGGCAAATATAATATGCGTGTTTTACCCGGTTGCGACCAGAATGGCAATTAAACTTACGATTTATTACAAAATTTCGGTTAATTATACGTTTTAATGCAATTCCTTTGCCATCGACGCAATTAATTTTTCCACTTTTCTTTGTCAACAAGTTTTATAGTTTTGGTTAGTTATGACTTTTTTATCCGATTTTCATAATTATTTTACCAATTAGAAAATCCATTTATTTTAATTGTGTTTTGCTATTTTAGTAACGAATTTTGTTAGATTTGGGTATTATCATAACTTTAATACACCCTGTGCGAAAACTGAAGGGGATAATTTAGTTTAAAAACTGTTTGTTGTAATATTTTATGTATTTCAAATCACTTGTTTTTCGGAATAAATTCAATTGAATTTAATTTATTTAAAACAACTTTAATTAAAACATAAAATTACCCAACAATAATATCGTGCAATATGGACTACAGATATATTGCACAAAATAATTTTTTGTG